ATAGCAAGGGGGGGCATATTGTGATGGCCAGGCCTGTCATATAATGCCCCCCCCACCAAAAGAGGTTTCTATGAATCCCACCCTCAAGCATTTTTCAGGGTATGGTTCTAGGACTGGTACCAATAAATGGAGCAAGTTTCATGAATGTCACACTTTTATTTTGTACGCATAGCATATATGCTGACAAAGACTATGTAACATTTGTAAACATATTTAGATTATTAGATGACAACTATGTAAAATTAAACAATACATTTTAAAGCACGTTTATACAGACAGGACGTAACAATAATGATAAAAAAAACATTTAAAAAAACAAACTGAAAAGGAAGTGACGAACGAATTTCGACACCTCAAATACGGAGCGAAAAGTTAAACGAGAAGAATCAAGACTATGAGCTACCACTAAACAACTCACAGTCTGAAAATTACCATTAATAAAAACCCTGAACGTTTACTTTTCGTTTTAAACATCGTTTTAAGGTGTAAACCTATGGTGTTAACGTGTCATTTAGAGGTGTAAACGTGTCATTTAGAAATGCGCGTTCCCGTGACAAGGGGGGCATTTCATGACGGGGAGGCATAATGTGACACAACACCGGCATCGCTTCATACAACAGATCTGAGCTGTCCAACTATGACAACACTCCTTGAACATGCGCGCGCTATGGGAGAATCTGCCTTGGTACAAAGTAGTAGTGAAAACATGGTACGGAGTTTCATTGATTTGGGCATTCGCTCAATAAGCAAGTGGAATGGATTTGATAGTGAAGCACTGACACAGCGCTCTACAAAGTGCGGCGAGTGGATAGACCGATTCACGGACTTTCCACATGGTAAAAGTGGGGGGGTCTAAACTAATCATTTGAAAAAGTGGGGGGGACTTGTCCCACCCTCATATAATGGCTGCGACGCCCATGACTCCATGGAATATAACAAAAAGTGTATCTCCAGCCGGTTTCTCAAACTTACCCCACCTTTAAATGTAGCTTGATTCAAAAATATCTATGGTATTATGGCAATAAATCATTGACTTTTGTTGTATTTTTCACGAGTGTGTGAAGATGGTGAACTTTTTGTTCACTGCACCGTCACTCTGGAGAACTCCAAGTCAGGTAATACTGTGTAATGTCAACACAAACGTACACACACAATTGAATGCATTCTCTAACTCACACTGACACTGACAATGAAAGCAGCCTCTGCGAGAGACAGATTACTGATTACTGTGCATTGCCCTGTATGTAGGCTATAATGTGTTAGAATGGGACACTGACATGGTATGTGGAGCTGCAGAGTTAAAGCACTCAGAAAGTTGCTTTTACTTCTACCTTGACATAGCCCGAATTTTCGGCTGCAGTTCAGGCAGTGACAATCAGAAAAATTAAACTCTTCAGTTAAATTATTGTTAAATTCAAAGTTATAGAGACTGTAGGAGGGTTACTTAAGTTCAGCTCTGTCTCTCAGCGCTCTCTCTCTCTCTCTGTTTCATCTGGCAACAAAGCCATCCAACAGTATGCAACACTTGGCTTGTTGCTTCTGCACTTCAAACACATAACACCTATTCCCTGAACATGAGCACAGGCACAAACGCAAAGATACATAGGCTACAGTTGTGCACAAGCACAAGCCCTCAGAAATACACTGACTCTTGTCTTAAAGCTACACCTGTTTGGTAGGATGTCTTGCAGTGAGGCAGGAAACAAGTTGGTAATCTCTTCCCAAACTGTGAGGGCGGACAGCTTGAAGACAAATGGTGTGATGTGTTTGACAGGATGAAATGGTGAGTGGTGGTCAAACGGTCAGGTCACGGTCCCCTGGAAATATTTTTTTTCCATCAGATCTCAAGCTAGAAAGAGGCACTTAAAAGATCCTGCACAGTAACAAGAAATACACAAATGGATGTGCACACAAATGCGCACATTTCAGTGAAGCGTTGACATTTCTGCAGTGTACTCCGAGAGGAGGGGGCAGAGATATATATATTGTGGACAGCAAAAATAAATGATTTTTTGAAATGACAAAATCAAGGCCAAACAGTGGCTTTGATTTATCATGTTATCCACAGAATAGAAAGGCGCAGAGATGTGTGTAGGACACTATCATTTGATGAATTAAACTTTCCTGCTCATCAAAAGGAGCACAACATGAAAGGTGTTCTTTAAAAGCAGCAAATAAAGTATGCTCTTGCACCATCCAATGAACTGTAAGCTTAAATTAGATAAACGTGGTTCCATGTATGTGAAGATGCACAGTTTATGCAAGTTTGCTATGGATTGATCTACGGATTTCATGTCTTCTAGCTGAACAGGGTCTCTTTTTATGTTTAAAGTCTACAAATAATACAGTTACCCAGCAAAGGCAGGTAGATGTCCACATACAGTATGTGTTTGAGGTGATGACTACTATAAAATGAAGCATGACGGTATTTCGGGAAGTATAGAGTGAGGACTGGTGTTCTGCTGCTGCTACTGTAAACTATTGTAGTTGCTTAGCAAAACTGAGAAATATTGGAGTTAGGGCTTTTATCTAACTCGGGAATATAACGTAGACACCTGCATGTGGGCCACATGCACGATCACATACACACAATTACAGAGAACCTGAAGCAAAGCAAGACATGCTATCTAGATTTCACTTTCTGAAGATCAAACTCCTCACGTCTCAAAGGTGTTGTGAGTTTTCGTAGTATGTTTAATACTTAAAAACGAAAGTTAGTTATAATCAAATATAATCAATTATATTCTTGTATAACCCACAATGAAAATGATTCATATTTTAGGTTTTTCTATAGTTACAGTATAAACAAAACAAAGTGGTTTGTTTAGGTTGAGTTTTCTTCCTCTCCTGTGACAGCAGTACACAGGGAGGGGGGCTCCAGGCTTAAGGAGAAACACAGAGGTCAAAAATAGTTCATGTCCTTTTCACACTAACATGAGAAGGTGGGTTTTATGTCATAAAGCTCTGGAACATGTCGAGGCATGTTCAGCCTTGTACATTACAGGGCATGCGCAGTTCTTCACAAATTGGGTGTAGAGGAGGAGTTTGTTTTTTGGGTTTTCGATCCAGTTTTTTTAGCATAAAGAGACTGGTTTTTTGAGAGAGCGAAAGAGAGAGGGGGGGTTTTCCCCTGGTAGACTCTCTCCCGGTAGGCTGTGTGCTCTCAAACTGGGTAACTAGCTCTCGGTAAGGTTCTCCCAGACGGGGTAAATATCTCTCGAATTTCTTGGTTGTTGGCTGAGTGGAATGATTTGATGAGAGATGTGTTTGTGAATATTATAACCCGCGACCTGTGAGGACCTTCTTCCTCCGAAACCTTGGCGGATAGGAATGTGTTTTTGAAAGGTTAATCCGCCGTCTGTGTCGGAAAAAGTGTATGAATATTATAAATACCGCCATCTGTGAGGAAAATCTCTCCCTCCGAAATTGCGGACAGGTATGGGTTTTTGAATGTTATACCCGCCGTCTGTGTCGGAAAAAACGGTATGAAACTGATGTGAATTGATTGGTGAATGGAAAGTTGAATGCGCTTTTTATTGTCACCGGTCTTTTTACGAGGAAATACCTCTAAATTCTATCGGGAGAATTTTAAAATGTCACAACTGAATTGGGCAGTTGAAATTAAAACATTTTGGTAATAAATGTAAGACTGTGAATTCAAGTTTCATATTTGAACATGATCACAGCACCAGGTTTTTAGTATGATTATAATGTTGTAAAGAGAGAAGGTAAAAACCCTGTATTAGTTTGGACCTATTTTTCTTCAAATAAACTGAATCCCACCAGTTGGATTGGGATAATTTAAAAGACACCTGTGCTCTCCTCTCCTGCTTCAAAGGTAAGACTGCACCCTGCCACACACACTTAGGTAGGAGCACACTCCATTTACTGATATCAAAATCCTTCAGGATCCCTTAAACAGATTAAAAAAGAGTTGTCTGAATTGAAACAGCAGTTAATTGAAACCTTGGTTCTTCGGGAAGTTAATAGAGGTGAGATCTTGCTGACGTTGGTGGATCTGAGCCAAGCAGCAACCTTACATAGACTCAATAACTTCGGAAAGGTCAATTAGTAGGTCAGAGTAATTTACCGGAATAAAATTATCAGGACCTCTCCGACTCTAAACAAAGGCAAGACAGTTTTGCTACCCTGCCCTGTACCCAGCAAGGAGGAGGAGGTGGGAGTGAAGAACGAGAGCTGGGGCAGAAGCAGGAAAAGGTGAAGGAGAGGTGGGGAAGAGAGCAAGGGAAAGCCAAGGTGATGCTTTTCTCTGAGCACACAAAATATTTATATTTAAAGTCAAAAAAGATTCTATACAGACATACACTGAACAAAAATATAAATGCAACACTTTTGTTTTTGCTCCCATTTTTCATGAGATGAACTCAAAGATCTAAAACATTTTCTATATACACAAAATAACCATTTCTCTCAAATATTGTTCACAAATCTGAAAAAAATCTGTGATAGTGAGCACTTCTCCTTTGCCGAGATAATCCATCCCACCTCACAGGTGTGGCATATCAAGATGCTGATTAGACAGCATGATTATTGCACAGGTGTGCCTTAGGCTGGCCACAATAAAAGGCCACTCTGAAACGTGCAGTTCTCATTCATAACACTCCGTTCGATGTCTCACTATGGGATGCGCCTCATCGCGGAGCAAACAGAAGCATCAATCTCATTACGCCAATCCTGATTGGCTGGTGATCTTGACGTCAGCGTCAGGGAATCCACCCCCTATAAGTAGCTTGCGCTACGTTGCATGTGTGGCGGTGTGGTGCTCATGTAGAATGCTTGGTTTGCTGACAACGCCACCTGGGGGAGTTTCGCCCCCAGGAAATTACTAAAAACTAAAGTTATACAATTTAATAAAAGGCAATCAGGTTCGTTTGAACACCACAGGCAGAGACAGTATAAAGGATATTACAACAATTGTTATTTTATTGGTACATAATTATATTCCTAATAGTACACAGTATAATGTTATAAAAGTTCTCCAGGGAGGAGGGAGAAGGACAGTGCTGGGGCTTACCACGGCGGCAATTAACAAAACGGGGAGGAAGGGGTCAAATCAAAATCACCCGTGACACTGCACACCAAACAAAACGGACACGTGAAGAACACCACCACCAGGGATTGGGTTTGCCGCCTCGAGCCCACAGCACCTGTCCGGCACAAGAGAAACAGTTAAAAATCAGAAAGATTATAAAACTTGGTTGGAGATGAATAAACAAAAGGAAAACAACTAAAATAAACCAAATCTAAATAACCGTAAACAACAAAGACTTGAGTAAACTAATTAAACCAAACGTTAACAAAAGAAAATAAACAAAATCACACAATAACAAAATACTATGAATGTACTCAAAACATGAGATGCACAAAACAGCTAATCAAAAGAAATCAACTAAACAATAAGTGTCCTTGCAATTCCGCGACCTCAAAACGGCCCTGGTGACAGTCCAACACGGAGTAGTCAGGGCCTGTCAATTATATGACGCCACAGCTCGGTGCGAGAGCTCGCCGAGCCAAAACAGCAGGAAGGGGGGGGGGAATGATGAGTCAGGGCGCCGGAAGCGCGGGGGCCAGGGGGCCAGGGGGCCAGGGGGCCAGGGGCCAGGGGGCCAGGGGGCCAGGGGGCCAGGGGGCCAGGGGGCCAGGGGGCCAGGGGGCCAGGGGGCCAGGGGGCCATTGGCCCCCCCACTTTTCAGCCCTGCCCCACATTTTCGCAGCAGCAGATTTTCTTTTTTTTTTCTTTTTTCTTTTCAGTCTTTATTTCGAACAGATTCAAAAATAACAAATAAAAAATAACAAATGTTAAAAACAGAATACCGTATTGTTATAATACAGTATTTATCCACATTCATGGTAATATTTGTATATTCAACAAAAAAAACAAAAAAAGTCTTCATATTAATAATAATAATAAATCATATGTGTCCGAAAGGGAGTAGGAGGAAGCAAATGCTTATTAATTCCCACCCCTTACTTGATCAATGATTGTCCTTTAAATCATTATGCAAGTTATTCCTACCTACATTTACATTTATACATACATATACAATAATTTCTCGTCTTCAATCACCTTTCTTCATTCTCGTATTTTTCCAAAAAAGTGTTTCTGTACATCCTTTTAAACTGAATTATGCTTGTGCTTTGTTTTAACTCCTGCTCCAAACCATTCCATAAAATCACCCCACAGATTGTTATACTCATACTTCTCAGAGTTGTTCTGACCTTGAGTTGTTTAAAATGTAGATTTCCTCTCAAATTATACCCACCCTCTCTGTCTATGAACAATGTTTTTAATTTCCTAGGAAGTAGATTATGTCTGGCTCTGTACATGATTTGTGCCGTTTTAAATTTAACCAGATCAATGAACTTCAATATGTGTGACTTCAAAAAGAATACATTAGTGTGTTCAAGATATTCAACATTATTGATAACTCTTATAGCCCTTTTTTGTAATGTGCATAACGGCTGGTTGGTTTTGTACGTGTTTCCCCAAATCTCCACACAGTAAATCAGATATGGCAATATTAGTGTGTTATATAGAGTATGCAATGAGTTGTAGTCCAGAATGTATCTGGCTTTTCCCAATATTGCGATAGTTTTAGCCAGTTTTGCTTTTACATGAGTGATATGAGGTTTCCAGCTGATTTTGTGGTCTCAAACCACACCAAGGAACTTAATTTCATATACTCTTTCTATGTGTATGTTATCTAGTATTAATTGTATCTGTGGATTTGTTTTATGTTCAAATTCAACAAATTGTTGTCTGTTGCTTAAATAATCTCTCACCCAGTTTAATCCCACCCCTCTGATGCCATACCGTTCCAGTTTTATCAGTAAAATATTGTGATCTATGGTGTCAAATGCTTTTTGTAAGTCTATAAATATACCCACTGCTTGTTTTTTATTGTCCATGCAGTTTGCTATTTCCTCACTTAATTCCATTAGTGCCATAGATGTTGATCTATCTTTCCTGAATCCATATTGACTGTCGTCCAAAAGCTGATGTGTTTCCATGAAACTGTGCCGCGGAAAACTGTACAAATCCCGTTTCAATAATTCCCCTCGACTCTAAAGTCGCATCTAAAACGTGATCTGATCTAGCTGTGTATATTTTGTTATTTTTGATTGTTATATATTCAATCTCACTAGCTACAGGCATGTTTGAAGCTTGTGAAGGGAAGATGACAGCTCTCGCCACTCTGCTGTTCCTCAGCGCCGCCCCCCTCCCTCCCGCTGAAATTATGAATGTAAGGTGTATAGTAATCATAGATAACACGGCAGAGTCCGTTACAGTTTGTTTTTATCTGATTTCAAATAAGCAAAGTCTTGGGTTTCAGAATATTAAACTTGTTTCGGCAAATTCAGATGATAAATAGGCCTACAACTTTGAAGCTTGTGACGGCATAATTACAAGCGGAGAACGGAGTAGTTTAACGTCACAGCAGCCATAACAACAGCCGGTGTTTCTCGTGAGTGCATAATCCAAACGAAAATATCTTCCCTCCGTAGTATTTTGATCATTTGCTCCGCTAATAATCAATCATGATGATTGATGATGAGAAATGATGGATTCCAGAGAAGAGAAAACTTTAAAAGCCTTTTTCTCAAAATGATGACTCTGTAACAGTCATTATATAATGTGACATATTTTGCTTAATATTTGGAGTACAAAAACAATCCTGATATCATTAGAAAGCTAGGAATCAAAATATGTCTTCGGGTCAATGCGACTGATTTCGATGGAGCAGCAGGTAACTTTGCATTAGGTAAAATAAAGCAGGCAGACATAACAGGAAGAATATACATTTTAACCCAATCAAATAGGACATTGTCACACCATTCAAATGTATCCATGTAAATTACAACCAATAAAAAAGCTTAGATTTGTTTATTTGTTACGTTGTTTACTTTATTTGTTACGTTGTTCTGTGTGTGTCAGCCGTTAACTTAGAAATAAAATATACACTTGCAAACATGTCAGAAGTACCAGCGCAGAAGAAAACTAAATGTGACCCGCTCTATCGAAATCAGTCGGAAGTCGCAACGGCTCATTTCAGAATAAACGTGGATTTACGTAAAAAACAATTTGTTCAGGGTTCGGGTGTTTTGTTTGATTTTAAACAAACAAAGTCTTGGCTTTCAGAATATGAAACTTTTATTTCCAAAATCACACGATAAATACATTTTTGAAGCTTGTAAAGGGAAGATAACAGGCACCTCTCACTCGCAATCTGCTCTTCCAGCAAAGCCGCCCCCCTCCCTCCGCTGAAATTATGAATGTAAGAGTATAGTAATCATAGATAACACGGCAGGGTCCGTTACAGTTTGTTTTCATCTGATTTTAATGAAACAAAGTCTTGGCTTTCAGAATATTAAACTTGTTTCGGCAAATTCAGATGATAAATACAACTTTGAAGCTTCGGTATAATTACAAGCGGAGAACGGAGTAACTTAACGTCACAGCAGGCATAACAACAGCCGGTGTTTCTTGTGAGTGTTTTCCCCGGGAAACAAACACAATACACACAAACGCAAAATTACACAAACACACACACGTAACTATACACACACACACACACACGTATACACACACACTCGCGAGCTTCCCCTCCAAACGAAAATATCTTCCCTCCGTAGTATTTGATCATTTGCTCCACTAATAATCAATCAGATCGATGGATTCAAGAGAAGAGGAAACTTTTAAGGCCTTTTTCTCAAAATGAGGACTCGGTGATAGTCATTATATAATGTGACATATTTCGCTTAATATTTGGAGTACAAAAACAATCCTGATATCATTAGAAAGCTAGGAATATCCTCTTTCCAACCGTGTATACAACTCAAAATGTGTCTTTCGGTCAATGCGACTTATTTCGATGGAGCAGGTCACAAATACAGTCAATCTAAACTTAAATGTAACAACTGGAAGGTCACATCCCTGACATCCACATCTCCGGAGCCTGGACCTTCATCAATCATAGAAACAGCGAAGCCAGATGAACCCAAAAGCAGCACCTCTGCGGCCGCAGAAACTGTCAAAACCGCCGCCGCCCCCACCGCCGCCGTCGTTGAACCGAAACAGGCTGGTTCCGACTGCATGGAGGTTTGTTGTTGGGACATTGAGGCGGGTAAAGCTGTACAGCTAACTATCGGAAAAAAGGAGACCGCTAGTAGATTATTTGAGCAAAGAGAAGGTACTTCAACGCAGAATGGTACAAAAACAGAGAGTGGTTCATTCTTTGCAAAACCACTAAACGATAGTGATAACTTGCGATGTTAACAACCTCATGATAACCTCATATTTTTTAACTTAGGATCATACCTGTGTTTAGTCTAGAAAAAGGTAAATGTGTGCATTTTATTATAAAGTTGTGTATATTTACAGACTATTGCAAAAACTAAGAAGCTTATAAACATCAGGTTTAAAACTAAAAGAGCTTTACAAAAAAGTAACCAAAGATGTTTGGAGTTTTATTTGAGTTATTCATTTACATTTTTTGTCTAAGAGATGCTGATTTGAAACCGTTGTTAGGCCTACATACAGTTACGCATTTCCTGTTTCTGCCAGAGAGAGGGGAGTTTGTCCCAAAGCTTGCTGCTGTATTTACTCCCTCCATCTGACAGACAGGAGGGAGCCTCATGTGTCACTCCACGGAGTTCACTCCGTCACGGAGGGTGTGTGTATAGGTGTAGGGCGTGGTTTGGGATTGGGCCATACACACGCACTTTTTTTGGCCCCCCCCACTTCTAAAATGAATCCGGCGCGCCTGATGATGACCAGAGGTGGGGAGAGTGGTTACAGCTAGGCGCTGCCACAGAGCCCACCAGGAAGGGAGAATGTTTATGGCACCCCTGGAAAGAGGTTTAAAATGACTGGTGAATAGCCTACTTAAGTTTATTGAATTAAAAGTTCTCTATGGGGAAATTCATAACAGCCTGTGTGGCCAGTTGCAGCCACAGAGCCCACACTGGGAAGGGAGAGAGAGACCCAACAATCCCACGGCCAAATCCCATTGTGACATGAATAACGGAGCCTACACACGGCGGCGTGCGTTGCCGCTTCAACGCTTCTGCCCATTCACTTTGAATGGGGTGACGTCACGATTCGCCGAACTGCATTGTGGGAGCAAAGCGTAGCTTCTCTCGCGGTGCTCGCTGCAAAAGTAGAGCAATGTTCTACTTTTGCCGCCTCTACGGAGGCGTCAGCCAATCAAATCCCGCGTATGCAAATCTGACATTACAAGTGCTAGCCAATCAAACCGCGTGTATGTTGGGAGAGCCAGACCGCAGTTATTTCCCATGTCAAAAAATGGAGGAGAAAATGATCGTGGCGGTACTATATGACCAGTCCCTCTTTACATACAGGGATACAAACCGGAGGAGCCAGGCATGGGGGGAGGTGGCAGAGACAGTGGGTGAAACTGGTAGGTTTTCGCCTGTTTGGGGAGTTTATATCCAGTGTACTTCGTTTGAATGGACAGCTAGCAAGCATAGACAGTATATTTAGCCAGCATGGATGTAGCGTGAATGCTTTGCTTTGTATGTCTGGGGCGGGACATTCATGTGATTGGTTGTTGGTCGCGTTGTTCGTAAAAAATTCCCAAGCTTCAGACACGCCCACCGCCAAGCGGTAACGCACGCCGCCGTGTGTAGGGGCCGTAACAGTCAGTACACCAGAGGAACCAAGCTGAAGGTGAGAATACGGCAGACAACGGCAACTCACCAATAGTTGCAACACTGCAAGACCGGGAACCTCCGGAGGAGCCAATCCTCCTCAAACGCACCGGGCGTCAGCTGCGCTAACGGCCCGTCTACACTACAGGCATCGAAAAAGCTTGAAGCTGGGCGTGTCTGAAGCTTGGCGATTTTTTGCGAGCAACGCGACCAACAACCAATCACATGAATCTCCCGCCCCCGACATACAAAGCAATAGCAATGTTAAAACGAAGTAAACTGGATATAAAATCCCCAAACAGGCGAAAACCTACCAGTTTCACCCACTGTCTCTGCCACCTCCCTCCATGCCTGGTTCCTCCGGTTTGTATCCCGGTAAATAGTTCTGGTCGTAAAGAACCGGGTGATTTGCTACCGTAATTTCTCGTTTGGAATATGAGGAAATGAACTGCGGTCTGGCTCTCCCAGCTTGCACGCGGTTTGATTGGCTAGCGCTTGTACTGGCGGGAATTGCAAAAACGGGATTTGATTGGCTGACGCCAGCTTCGAGCAAGCATCGAGACTCAAAAGTTGAACATTGTTCAACTTTTGACGCCGATAGACGCTCGCGATGCTTGCAACGCCTTGCCATGCTACCCACAATGCAGTTCGGCGAAGTTTGAAAATATCCTACGTCACGCCATTCAAATGAATGGGCGAAGCGTTGAAAGCATTTTTTGACGCCTGTAGTGTAGACGGGCCGGGCCCGTCTACACTACACAGAGTAGTGTCAAGCCGGGTGTCGCTCGTGCCCATGAATAAATGACAGAATGCAAGATGTTTTACCTGTCTGGTAGAGAGTGTGATGCGCGAGCTGCCACGCCAAACAATCCACGCGGCCACAAAGGAGAAGCGGAGGGGGAGGGAGCAGATTTGTCTCCTCCACTTAAATAGCAGGTGCGCAAAATAGCAGGTGCGCTGGCATGGTGCCAAGCAGCGTCACAGAGGGAGGAGACGTGACGTCCGGTCACACCTGCGTCATTCAAACACCTCGGTTGCGTTCCGATAATCCAAAATTAGCTGCTAAATTCTAACCCTATCTCCTATTCCTTGACCTCTGAGTGAAACGTCACGGGGTTAAGGGATAGTGGATAGGAGAATTCAAAAGGACTTAGGAGAAGAGACTGCGGTGCTTAGAGAATCCGAATGCACTTTCACTATCCGACGTGTTTATGATGCGCCAGCGGACGTCATGAATGTGCGTCTGCTGCTGTGGGGAAACTATGGAAACTACAGTTTTCTATACAGCGGACTACAACATGAATGTATAATAAGAACGAGGGACTACTGTAAACTCATCTAGAGACTCTGCACCGTGCTCTGATGCTGTTGTTTTATGCTTTATGAACAGGGGACAACAGAGAAACATATTCATCATGACCAAAGTTGGAATTGAAATAAAAAAGGAAAGTGAAACTTATGCTCGTCACTCCGGTCCACATTAATACAAATGATGATCCCAATACGTATGATTGTATGAACTATTAAAAGATCTTAAAATAAATACAAATGTATTTATTATAAACGTTAGTCCTTAACATCTATCACTGTGTATATCACCATTCAAACATCTTTTAAACGTTGAACAACCCCACACAGCTCAGTGAAATGTTGACTTTATTTGATCATTTCAGTAAAAACTAACGTTCATATTTCTCTTTTTGATTATAATACTGATGAACGTTCAAAACAAAGCACTTTGGCAACTTACGTTTTAAAATGCGTAATAAGCACCGTAACTTTCATGATATCATTTCTCCCATTATCGTTTGGGAGGTCCAGTGGTTCCTAAGCTAAAGGAGGTTATAAAGGAAGTTTGAAACCTCCTTTCCTTTCATTTGGAGAATTGGAACGGCACTTATCATGGCTGCCAGTGACGTACTTCCGGGTCATTTCACTTGCTTAGGAAGGTTCCTAAGCTAAATGGACTATTGGAATGGGCCCCTCTTCTCGCTTCAGAGCGCTATCTGTACATCCTTCATGCACTCAGTTCGCCCCAGGGCAAACGAGAGTGTTGTTGAAGCCTAACCCTGCCTTTATACCAAAGGTGGTTGGTTCATGTACCCCAATTGACATTGAGGCATTTCCTCCGCCGCTGTGTTCCTCCGGGGAACAGCAGCCGGATTTGCTGTGTCCAGTCCGTGCTTTACGCACCTATATGGACAGATCAAAAGAGTTTTCGTCATAATGACCAACTCTTTGTGTCCTGGGCTAACCCTCACAAGGGCAAGCCCGTTACTAAGCAACGGCTCTCCCAATGGATTGTGGAGGCAATTGCTTTGGCCTATACGAGTCAGGGTTTGCAGGCACCTTCGGGTCTGCGGTCTCATTTGACTCGTGGTCTGGCTACATCCTGGGCTTTGTTCAAGGGTGTTTCCATCCAAGACATTTGTGCAGCGGCGAGCTGGTCCTCGCCGCTCACTTTTGTCCGCTTTTACAGGCTAGACGTCTCTGCTCCTAGTGTGGCCCGAGCAGTGCTGGGCACCTTGTTGAGTCAGAGCTCTACCTGTTAAGTTCTGGTTGGTTTGGTGATTTTCGAGATAAGCTTGTCTGGCAATACGGGAGCTACAATTTCCCATAGTGAGACATCGAACGGAGTGTTATGAATGAGAACTATAGGTTACTTACGTAACCCCAGTTCTCAGAGTAACATGTAGTGAGATGTCTCACCAGACGGCCCTCCTTGCTATGGTGAAGCGAGAAGAGGTGCTTATTTTGAATGACGCATGCGACGTAGCGCAAGCTACTTATAGGGGGTGGATTCCCTGACGCTGACGTCAAGATCACCAGCCAATCAGGATTGGCGTAATGAGATTGATGCTTCTGTTTGCTCCGCGATGAGGCGCATCCCATAGTGAGACATCTCACTACATGTTACTCTGAGAACTGGGGTTACGTAAGTAACCTATAGTTTTGCTTTATTGGGGGGGTCTGGGGGGGTCCGAAAACCAGTCAGTATCTGGTGTGACCACCATTTGCCTCACGCAGTGCAACACATCTCCTTCGCATAGAGTTGATCAGGTTGTTGATTGTGGCTTGTGGAATGTTGGTCCACTCCTCTTCAATGGCTGTGCGAAGTTGCTGGATATTGGCAGGAACTGGAACACGCTGTCGTATACGCCGATCCAGAGCATCCCAAAAATGCTCAATGGGTGACATGTCCGGTGAGTATGCTGGCCATGCAAGAACTGGGATGTTTTCAGCCTCCAGGAATTGTGTACAGATCCTTGCAACATGGGGCCGTGCATTATCATGCTGCAACATGAGGTGATGGTTGTGGATGAATGGCACAACAATGGGCCTCAGGATCTCGTCACGGTATCTCTGTGCATTCACAATGCCATCAATAAAATGCACCTGTGTTCGTCGTCCATAACATACGCCTGCCCATAGCATAACCCCACCACCACCATGGGCCACTCGATTCACAACATTGACATCAGAAAACCGCTCACCCACACGACGCCACACACGCTGTCTGCCATCTGCCCTGAACAGTGAAAACCGGGATTCATCCGTGAAGAGAACACCTCTCCAACGTACCAGGCGCCATCGAATGTGAGCATTTGCCCACTCAAGTCGGTTACGACGACGAACCGGAGTCAGGTCGAGACCCCGATGAGGACGATGAGCATGCAGATGAGCTTCCCTGAGACGGTTTCTGATAGTTTGTGCAGAAATTCTTTGGTTATGCAAACCGATTGTTGCAGCAGCTGTCCGAGTGGCTGGTCTCAGACGATCTTGGAGGTGAACATGCTGGATGTGGAGGTCCTGGGCTGGTGTGGTTACACGTGGTCTGCGGTTGTGAGGCCGGTTGGATGTACTGCCAAATTCTCTGAAACGCCTTTGGAGACGGCTTATGGTAGAGAAATGAACATTCAATTCACGGGCAACAGCTCTGGTGGACATTCCTGCTGTCAGCATGCCAATTGCACGCTCCCTCAAAACTTGCGACATCTGTGGCATTGTGCTGTGTGATAAAACTGAACATTTCAGGGTGGCCTTTTATTGTGGCCAGCCTAAGGCACACCTGTGCAATAATCATGCTGTCTAATCAGCATCTTGATATGCCACACCTGTGAGGTGGGATGGATTATCTCGGCAAAGGAGAAGTGCTCACTATCACAGATTTTTTCAGATTTGTGAATAATATTTGAGAGAAATGGTTATTTTGTGTATATAGAAAATGTTTTAGATCTTTGAGTTCATCTCATGAAAAATGGGAGCAAAAACAAAAGTGTTGCATTTATATTTTTGTTCAGTATAATTCAGCCTTAAACTAAAGTTGGAGTTGCTTGTTTAAAAGATTGCAAGAGTGTAAGTTTGTGTATTTTATGTTACATTAAAACACTAGGAGGACTTCAGAGATTTTTCTAATTCCTGATATTTTAGGATTTTTCAGTGCTTCATGACTTCCTCTTTCCTCTGCACCAAATAAGGATGGTTCATGTGTATTATTTCCAGCCTGCACTTGAACGTGAGATTTCCTGTTTCCCCTCAAGCTATAAAGAAACACATGCGCAAACACACACAGACTCACACCTTGACATAAAGACAGCACAAGGAGAAACTCAGTGTGTAATACCACGAAGGTGAGAATTCACCCCTAGGGATATACAACTGAATGTTTAAAGACTGACGAGAGATAGGCGCTTCTAGTGACCATGCCCAGCCACACACACACACACACACACACACACACACACACACACACACACACACACACACACACACACACACACACACACACACACACACACACACATACATTTGAACACAATTGTAATGCAACCAAAATAGATCACCCTCTACCACCTGCATTGTGTAAACAACACAACAAATCTACCAGCAGCTCTCGGCTCAACTCAAACAAAAATGATGCTTTAAGCTTAATGCTAGCTGCAGCTATAAAGTTTTCCTTATTCCATATAAGGAAAACTTCAGTTTAGCATGCACAGCGGGACAGTCAGGATCACCTAAGTTGTTAAGACTCTCTATTCAACGCTTTATAGCAATCCTTCTTAAATTTTCAATACATTTCAGGAAAAGCAAAACATCTCAACCTGCTGGTGGCACGAAGGTCCAGTCATCACCATAGTCAGTAGGCTGTGTCCTCTGGGGACCATGCGTGTCTGTCTCCCATTCAGCCGAAGCTTTCTCATAAACTCAAATCACAGAAAGTGCTTCACTCATGGTTTCCAAAAATGAAGCATAATATATATTGTTGACGTTCATCTACAGCTGGAGCCGGAATTTTGAAATATGTTTCTTTCTGTACTTTATTGAACATGATTAATAAATTAATTAATAAAAATATTTATGGTATTACGGCAATAAATCATTGACTTTTGTTGTATTTTTCATGAGTGTGTGAAGATGGTGAACTTTTTGTTCACTGCACCGTCACTCTGGAGAACTCCAAGTCAGGTAATACTGTTTAAGGCATTCATGTCAACACAAACGTACACACACAATTGATTGCATTCTCTAACTCACACTGACACTGACAATGAAAGCAGCCTCTGTGAGAGACAGATTACTGATTACTGTGCATTGCCCTGTATGTATAATGTGTTATAATGGGACACTGACAGTGTGTATGTGGAGCTGCAGAGTTAAAGCACTCAGAAAGTTGCTTTTACTTCTACCTTGACACAGCCCGAATGTTCGGCTGCAGTTCAGGCAAAACATCTCAACCTGCTGGTGGCACGAAGGTCCAATCATCACCATAGTCAGTAGGCTGTGTCCTCTGGGGACCATGCATGTCTGCACATTTGAAGGGCCATTTTTACAATAGTTGATGACATATATACCGTCTGGACCAACGTGATGCACCATTATTGCTAAAAAGCCATCAAAAAGAGAAAACATTTAGAAAATGCTTGTGCATGCTAGGCAGGAACATATGGACATACACAGAGAGAGACAAAAAAGACAGATG